TTATTTTTCACACCTTATGGATTCTGCTCAACAGTGCTGTAGAAAATAACTGGTTTGTTGTGTGAGTGAATATTGAAGTTGAGACTTGCTCTCTGCTTTAAAAGACAAGCTGTAAGTATTTCACCTGACAAATATTCTGTAATTCTTTATGGTGAAAGATTGCAAGGATTAACTTGCTTAGCATATTCCTCTGAAAAGAAAGTATTAAATTTGATGCTCAGTTCTTCAGTAATCCTGCAGGAATTTGATTTGCAGTACTTGACTGTGCTGTCCAACCGTTGTACACTCCATTTATGTGCTGCAACCGCTGTGTGGCTGCTTCTCTGCTTTTCACCCCGAACTGTTCCCTTTGCCTCCTAGAATTGCTCACCAGGGCCCTGGTTTAGGAAGGCCTTTTGTGTCTGTTAGCGTGGGCCCCATCCGCGCCGTGCAGCACCTCTTCGTGTTGGTGTGCGTCAGGAGATAACCGATGGTGTCGAACATGATCTAGACTACTGCGATTACAGATGGCTTTTGTTTTCTCGTGAGCTGGCCTGGATCTGTTTGTGTGAAATGAATTCTCAATGGCTTGTTTACATATATAGCTATTTGGGCCATAGGCTGCCTTTAGGTTCTTGGAGATTTTTGTGGTTTCCTGTTTCTGATCTGTTTTGAGGCTCGGGGTGGGGGGAGGTGGTGGAAGGAGGCCTTAAGTAGTCTCTGCCCCTGAAGGTGCTGGGAGGTTAGAGGGTGAATGGCTGGTATGCAGGTTCTTACAGATGCTTTCATTAGCTTTAAATCTTACCCGAATTTGGAATTGGGATCCTGGAAATTAGTGGCGGGAAATACCACTGTTTGTGTAAGGTTGTAACACTTTGAAAAAAGGTATTTGCTTTTATTAAAATGTTTGGATCAGTGTTGCTCTGTGAGAAGTTCATTTCTGTAGAAACAAAGTCAGTCTTGTGAATGAAATACTTTTATTCCCTAAATGAAGAGTCAAAACAATCTAACAATGTGGAATTGTTCTCTGTGCTTCCAAATCCTTGAGCCTATTGGTTGTTTTTGCTGATATAACATGGATCTGATTTCCTCTTTACTTGCTTACAGATGATCTGTGTTATAGATTTACTGCAGAAAGTGAGGAACCGGTGGTAGGTGATTGGCATTCTACCTCCTTCATAACTGAACCAGAATGTTTCTGGAGTTCTGTGATTATTTTATATAAACAATACAGTAAGGCTGCCCAAACTTTAAAACACTTCTTTGTATACTGTGAACTTTTTGAGGATGTACATCCAGAAAGCTTAAGAAGAAAAATCAATAAATTTTGGTTCTTCTGCAAAGTTAATCTTCTAGTAGAGATGCAGTTGTTGTTGCTCGTGCTTTGCAGCAGTGCCATATTTGTTTGATGCATACTGCGTGCTTAGATATATTAAAATTTGTAGTGGTAATAAAATAGTGAAGATTTTTATGTCTGTCCTGTAATTCAACTTATCTTTGGCAGATTTGTTATTTTCTTTCTTGTTCGGTTTTCAAACTCTCAGTATGTTGTGCTCAGAAGGAAACAGTTTCTATGTGGAAGCAAATTAGAAACAGCAGCCTAAAGAGCTTGGGACAGTAGGTAGTGTTATAGACTAGCTTTTGAAAGCAGAGCGCAATGATGCGATCAGTGGTCATCAGTGTGGTCCATGATGTGCAATAGGCGAGTCTGCTGTTGCGATATGGATCCCTGCTTAGGCTGCCTGCCCGGCTGGGAAGCGTTGGCCGTTCCTGGAAGGAGAACATCCTTCAGCTTCCGAGAACTGCAGATGCAGTTTAGGTGGATTTTAAACTCTTCAGTGAATGGTTTCATATCTCACTAAAAACATCTGTATCCAGCAGAAGCAGAATCTTAAATCTGATTTTTGCAGAAGGGCGGCTGTACAAGGTTCGACTGGATGAGCTAGCCTGTATTCTGTCCATGGTGTACGTGGTGACACAAACACGTGTAATTTCTGCAGACACGTTCTTTGGAATCTTTCAAAATAAAACTGAGAAGGTAAATAGTACAGGACACAAAAGGCCTAACAAGGATATGTGGAGTGTGGCGTGTAGGATTGACCTTTGCTATGAATGTTCAGGTGCAATGTATCTAGTTGCATAGTTCTGTCATTTCTTATCTAACTGATACTTTATTGCATCTTCCTCTGTCCTTCTTGTTCTTAATCTTGACTTTCCTTTGAGAAAGTCAGGGGACCAAGTGACGTTGTACCTTGGCTGGAAATAACCTCCTGTTCCTGCTTAGTCCTTTACTCTTGTCTCCTCTTCCCTTAGGACTTTTCTATACTCTCTTCATTGTGACTTAGTTTCAAATATTGTGTAAGGAAATATATATATCCAGCACCTTTTCCTCCCTTCCTCTCAGTGCTTTATGGTGCTTTCATGGTGGTGGTTTTTTTTTCTTGCTTGTTTGTTTTTTTTCAAGACGTCTTGCTAGCTGCAGAATCTAATCAGATTCCCCACAGTGCTGCTGCTTTTTTTTCCTGTAAAACCTCAGTTCCTCTAGAATAGCCTCACTGGAGCCACTTCATCATCTAAATCCTGATATTTAGTCTGTGTGCATGGGTTTTCCATTTTTCCATTTCAATTAGCGGGATGTTTCTTATACTGGCATCCCTTCGGTTGTTGAGCAGTCATGCTTGTGTCACCCTTGCTGCACTCTTGATAGGAAAGAGTGCAGTTTGTTTTAATCCTGGG